AATTGTTTTTAACGTCCCAATGAGATTTCCAACTAGCTTGCGTTGCAATACCGGTTAAATAACCGAACATGAAAAAGTATAGCGGTTTGCATATCGTTTCAGCATGTGGGTGTGTTCACCCTGGTGAATATCGAATGGAAATTTTTTGGTTTACATATAAATTTGAGAAAAACAATTTTTTAAACATTTAAAAAAGCAAACATTGAGAAAAAACATGCGCTTTGATAAAGCCTTATTTGTTCAATATTTTAATATGCAATGCGCAAACAAAAATGTTCGAGCAAAAAAATATTTTTCGCAATTTATTTTTACTTCGAATTTAGTGTCCGATATTTCGCGCAGGACCAAATGTTAAAAGTTTTATCTTAAAAATTACTGCCAGTGAATTTTTGCGCGGAATATCCTGCTCCTATAGTCGTGTGTTTTCCACGAAGAGAGCTTTTCCTGTGTATTTTCCAAGGTTTTTCAGATACTATTTGGATTTATTAACAGATATATACTCTGTTGTTTTCCTCAATGTTTTGTTTTAAAAAAGAGGACGTTATCGAATGTACGAATACAACGGTGTAATTTCGAAGGTAAATATTGAGAAATTCCTTTTCTGAGGAACAGATAAGAATTGCTTGGAGGCATGGACTCCTACAGTCAAACTCAATAAACATTTCCTCAATTTACGAAATTAATTATAGACTGTTTCTACCAGTTCGTACCATTATAATATACAGGGTGTTCGGCCACCCCTGGGAAAAATTTTAATAGGAAATTCTAGAGGCCAAAATAAGACGAAAATCAAGGATACATTTCCGGCCACATAGTATATTTTCGGTAAAGAATTTTTTTCTCGAAACTGCGTAGGATTTCGGGGGTATCTGTATTTACCAAAAATGATTGTGATTGGCCCCCGCAATCAAACATAATTTTTTCAAAACGATTTAAAAAAATTTTTGAAATTTCAGGGAAAAAACATGATATATGGTCAGACATTAGATTTTCGGTAAAGAATTTTTTTCTCGAAACTGCGTAGGAATTCGGGGGTATCTGTATTCACCAAAAATGATCAGAATTGACCCCCGCAACCGAAAATAATTTTTTCAGAACGATTTAAAAAAATTTTAGGGAAAGGGACGAAACTTCGAAAGAATAGTTTGGAACTTTAAACCCGAGTTATCGCGGCCAAATAAAATGCGCATCCCTCATTTTTGGCCGTTTCTAGCTCGTTTCCGGAAAGTTTCTTGAAAATCCGTAGGGGTAGGGGACAGTTGGGGGATGTTCCGCGTAAGTAAAGAAGCAGCGAAAGCGCCGGAGGTTCGCCGAAATGGAGGCTGGTGGCGTACGAAGACGCCTGTTTCGTTCAGCCCGACGCACCGAGGCATCTGGGAAACTTGGGAATTAAGAGATCCGCGAAAGGCGGTCATTCGATTATTTCCAGCCATTAAAAGGGCTGCCGCCCTTCCTTTTCCGGGCGTTCCTTTTCCCCAAGCAGCTTCTTTCCGGAACTTTCTTACACGAGTTTTACATTTCGTCGAGCGAACGGAGACTCGAAAGAGGGTCGAAGAGGCGTGGGCGCGCGAAGGGAAAGGGAAACACGCGGCCGAAAGAGAAGAGGAGCGTGTGCAGGCTTCCCAGCAAGTTCCTCGTCTTCGTCGAGGGGGTCGAAGAAGGTTGTCTCGGGCCACGAGCATCCCCCAACCCCCTTCCCGTCGCTTCAATCCCCGGTGTCATTGGTATTCCACGCGGTCGCGGCAATATTGCGTTACTAGAACGCGTCTTGCAAGCGGAATCGAAGCGACGCGGGCCACGATGACACCGAGACGACGACGCCTTGCGAGTCACACCGCATGGCCGCGGCTCCCTTTTAATTTACACCCGCCGAAATTAATGTCCAACCACCCTCCCCTCCCCCTCGTTCGGCCGTAATTGAGACGAGGCTCGATTTTTTTCAATCGTCTCTCGACGTCTTCTTTTGACTTTCAATTTCCTCGCACGTCTTCCGCGCGAACCAGCTGTTCCAGCTACCAATTTCTCCGAGCGTCCCTCTTTCCCTCTGGCTCGGAGGAATTCCTTGGGAATTTTTTTTACCGCGCACTCGGGATCCTCGCGAAGTCCCCGAGGAAAGTGTCCTCGTTTGAATGGCGCCAAGGGGCGGCGGGGAACGGTCTGCATAAAGACGATCTCGAGATCGTAATTATTCGATGCTTCGACGGAAGTTCGGCAGTTCTGGTAATGGAGGGCTGGAAGAGGCTCGCAGCTGCGCTGAGATTCTAAGCGTCTCGGGATACGTTTCCCTTCTGCCTCTCGCGACGAGGAACCGTACGGCAAATTGTGCAATTTTAAGCCAGAAATTTTATAAAGAAAATTCTGGAGTGAAATGAGATATAGGGCGAAAATTACGAGACGCGGGAATTAAAAACCCAAGAATCGTCCGAGGTGGAAATGGAATTCGCAGCTTCCCGAATCGTAAAACAGCGAGCGGAACGTGCCGAGGCGAGGGGACGTAAAAATTCTTAATCTCCAACGCGGCGAACAAGTCGTAAACTCGATTCCGTTCGCAATAAATTTTCCGCGAAACGCAATCGAGCCGGTCCAGCCTCGGAGATATATAATTTGAATTCGACTCGTCGCCGGGCCTACGATCCACCAAAGGGATGTTTTCCTCGCGCCCTTCGTTCGTCGCGGAATCAAGTGCTTGAGATTATGACGGAGGCTTCGGTCACGTATTTCATTAACAGCGATGCCGTCGGTTCCGTGGCCACGCAGGGATCCCTCGAGGGCGTAGGCAGCCGCGAAATATGTTTGCTTTGCGTTACATCCCCCGGGATGATCCCGTTATAATTATGAATATCCTTGTTGTCGGCCGAACACGACCCTCGAATCGTTCTTCGCCTCTTTCGACGCCGTTAATCTTGACCAGGGTTCGAACCCTACTACCTGTCTAAAAAATTATCAGTCGACTGTCGCTTGTACGAACAGAATTATTTTATATTTCGTATTCCTATTTCCTACATTCACCGGTAAGACTGCGACATTTAGGCAATTAAACTGCGAATGATCACTCTAGTTTCTTCGAGACGGTCGCTTATTAGTCCCTTGAGAACCGTAGCTTTAATTAATGTGTGGTGAAATCCAGTGATAACGTAAGGGCGAAGACGAATTTGCATCTATGTACAGAGTGTGACAAAACGAGTACTACGATCGGGTATCGACCGATTCTACCTCTGAGAATAAACCGGGAAGAAGAGAATAAAGTTTCTCGGAAACACCTTGACAATTTACCCTCCCAATTCGTTTCGAAGTCATGTTTTCGAGTTTCTCAACGAAACAGTGTCTCTCCGCGACTCGGTGTCCGATCGAGGCGCAGATTTTTCCGCGGGAAATTCGTCGCTGGTGCAACGAGAGACTGCGTCTCGATCGGGCCCGTATCGACGAGATTCGTTCCCCGGTCTGGCGTGTTTTGAAACGAGCAACGACAGATTGGAATTACCATATTGGAAGAGGGAACTGGACTCCTTATTTCCGTTTCCTTTAAGACGGAGGGGGAAAAAGACCCCGGAGGGCTTCCTCTATCCAAATCGCTCGCCTCGCTTTCCCGTACGATTCTTCTCTAGCGTTAGCCTCGCGTTCTCGGGAAACTGTCTCTCGTCCCTTTCTACCACTTTTCTCTTTCCCGCCGTATCCGCTCTCTCCGTCGCGCTCAGGGTGCTTTCATCTCCCCTTTTCCATCTCGGGTCTGGGAGATTCATCCGATTCTCGTCCACGAAGATTTCAATCTTGTTTGGTCGAGGTATCGACACGTCCTCATCTTCCTCTCGATATTCCCTGCAACCTGCTCCCCCTTTCCGTCGTCTGTCTCTCTCCATCTGCCCGCCCCTTCCGGCCGCGGAACGTTTGCTAACCCTTGCGAGAACGAAAGAGGATGGTCGATGTCTATATCGATCGGTCAGAACGAATCGGCTGCAGGCACCAAGGAAATTCCCGGTCGCTTCCGCAGGAAATTCGCGGAACGCGCGACCCTCCGCCGATTTCCAGCCTCTATCCTTCCTCGACGAGCCAACGAAATCGTCGGTGTCTTCGAAAATCACGATGCTATCGACCACTTGCCAGCCTGTTACCGCGCCGCGAAAAACACGGAGTGTTGGAGGGCGATGCGGCCACCCCCCCCTCGAAGATCTCGACTCGCGCTTCTTCTCGGCCCCGGAAAGGACTTTTCCAGTCTATGAATATATTAAAAGCAAACAAAGACGCTCCTCTCGTAATCCTCGCCTTCCTTTTCTCGGCTCGCAGGACGTTACGCGCGCGTTTATTAAACCGGCCCGCAAACGCTTTCTTAAGCACTTTAAAGTTAAGGCTCCGTCGTTACCCTCGAAAGTCCTGACGTTCCGTCTACCCCTCACCCCCTCTCGACGCTCGAGACCCGTTCTACGCGACGACGATGACGAGAAATTCAATTCGCGTCCATCGTTCTTCCCTAACGAGCCTCGCCTTTCGTCGTCAAATAACACATTTAATCGCATTTCATCGAAAAATGAACTTTCTTCCACCCCTAAATTTTCTGAGTCTATAGTTCTCTAAATATCCATCGTTATCCAAACCGAGAAAATTATTACAATCTTTCGCGACCTGAGAATCTATGTAAAATAAGATTCTTTTTCGATTCGATAGTTGCACAAAAGTATGACTAAATTTCTCAATCCAACCCCTTGTCCGTTGGTTAGTGGGGAGAGTGTGATCGATGCGAAGTATTGCTTCATAATGGAGTTGAGATCCAGCTGTAATCCATCAAGGTATAAGCAATCGAAGTGGCAGCTGGACAGGTGCAAGGAATAAGAAATAGTCGATGACTTGCTTCGGGTTCTTTTTGTAGAGTTCAACCACTTCCCCACTGACTCTTTTTATAGTCGGTTCAAGGCAGGTTATTTTACCTGAGATCGATTTCTCCCGTTTATAGAATTTATTTTGTGGATTTCACGTTTTTCTTTCAACTTTTTATGTATTCTTTTCAGACTGAAATATGTTCGAGCGCCCTGACCGACGTTATTCACGCAGTCATCAACGGAACGGACGGTTGCCTGTTCTGCTTCGGACACGCGGGCTTGGGTAAGTCTTTTGTAATTAAAGTCCTTTCGTATTATTAAAAAGTACCAGAGATATTCGTGGTAGTTAAGAGTCATTGGGCCATCTTGCGTATAAAAATTCGTACATCTCGAGTAAAGACTCGTTTGCTTGCACGACGAGGATCGACGCTCCGAGGAAAGAAGGGGGTTAAACATTTTTCCTGGTTCCGCGCGATGCGTGAGGGCTGACAACGTCTCCGTCCTTCTTCCCAGCGGCTTTGTTCGGCAAAGTTCGACGTCCTCGTAGACAAAACGCCATTGTTCCCCCCGCGAGGAACTCATCCGGACCGAGCGTAGAAATAATTACATGAAATATGAATACCTCGAGGAATTCTCGTCGTTCTTATCGTCCTACTGTGCTCTTTTTCACGCGCTCGTCCAACGACCGGCTGCAGTTTGCACTTAGCGATGATGCGAAGATCGCAGGGCGTCTTGACGCTTCGCGTAAATATTGCTCGCCAGACAAATGTACAAAATTTGCGCCTCCTTTCTCTCGTCGGATAAAAAATAATTGCGAAAATACATGAATTTCCTCCGCTTCATTCGCGGGGTAAAAAGATACTTCGCTCGAAATTTTTCCACCGCTATTTTCTTTTTTGATACCCATACACCTCTGTTATAATTGATATTTCCATACACTTGTATAAGATAAGTTGGAACCAGTTAAAGTTGATAATACCATACAGTTGTGAATTTCTGTAGGCACAAGCACAAGTAGAAATAGTAGATCATGGTCAGACACGATAGACCGTACGCCTAGCGAATAAATTTTCATCGATCAATTATGCCTCTGTCTAGACACATTTTGATTACTTTTCGTATCAATTTGCCTACATTAATCAACGCTGATTGCAAGTTTAGGAAGAGCGTATTTTCTCGAATCGAGTATTATAAATTGACGGACTAAAGAGACCGTTAATAGAGTTCGGTCAGTAGGCGCCGAAATTAGAAATTCTATGAATAGGCCCTCGGCGGATAAAGTGTTAAGAGAATCGTCTCCGTACGTCTGAGGAGTATGCGCAGCGACGACAGAAGCTTCTTCGCTAATTACGCGCGCGCTCGATTCTTCAATGTCGCCTTTATTCGAGGACCAAGGCCCGGGCGAACAAATTTCACTGCGCTCTCTCGGCTCAATTCATTATAACGAGTACGAAACGCGAAATTCAAGGGCTGTAGCTTCCGTCCTTGAATCCTCCAGCTACCACTAGAGGAACTTACTTGTCTCGACACTTTCCAAGACGAAAGATTCCATTCGATAGTTCCACAGAAAATCTGAAGCAAAGTTTCGCGCCGAGTCGTGCGCCGTGAATTAACACGTTCCTGGATGAGATTCGGTCTTAAATCAAATTTAATATTCCTTGCGTTTACATGCATCGAGCCTCTTACCTAATCACCTTCGAATCTAATTGGTACCACGTTTCGAAAGATAACTAATTTGGTTTCGATGTATCTTTGTTGGGATAACACTGGTATTAACCCTTTGTCGAGGAAAGACGCGTACTCCAGCCCTAAACGAGCGCGTTGAAGATTCGATAGGTGAATTGGGGCGTTGATTCTTTACTCAGACGGTTCCCTTCTCCTCCCTTAGACCGCTCGTTTGCCGCTTGGTTTTCATCGTTCTCCGCGAAACCAGCCGGAGAACACGGTCGACGAGACGCGCGAGTTGTTTTACATTTTAAGTAGTGATATCGAGTTTGCATGCAAATGCATGATTATGCGAGGCAACCGAGGGGAAGGAAGGCTTTCTCGGCGGGTAATGCCGAGAGGGAAGAAAGAGGATGGATAGGAGACCGCGTTCCGCGGGGAAAATGGACGAGGCGAGAAAAGGGGCGAGAACGAGGGACCGAAAAGGTGGAGTCGAAAGGAAACGAGATAATGTATGCTACTGGGGCACGCTCCATCCTCTTCCCCGCGTTTCGAATCATAACGTATACCGGAGAGTATCTCCGCCAAGTCCTCGCTTCACTTTCAACGGGAATAACTTCCGAGCTGACGGATTTATGGCGAACCCCCCGCGAACAGACCGATTAAACTTTCCTGATCTGCTCTCCCGCGGCTTTGTATCGACTCCGAACATTGCCGGGATTCTCGAGAACCTCGTATAGCGATCGAATTCCTTTCTACTACTAGTTCCTCGCTCTTCGAACTCGAGCGTTGCACGCGATCGTTCTAAGCGTTATTAATTCTTTCCAAGCTGATATCTACATCGATAAAAAATATACTGAATCCATAAGTACTTCAACCCCTGCGCGTGAATATTTGTAAATCTCGATTACCAACGTGAGAAAACATCGAAAGAATTCCGATCGGAGCAACCAACCCTTAACGCGCGACGATATCGAGCCGCGATCGTTCGAATTCTCGTCGAAGTTAGGTGAAATTTACCGCGAGAGAAAATCAATAAAGAGAGACGCGTGAGATAGTGTAACAGAGACGCGAAAAGCACGGTAGCGGTGGGAGATAAGAGTCGACCGGTCGGAGATAAAGAAACGCGAGAGACGAAAGACGTGGAAGGAAGCCGAACGAACTTTCATCCCCTCGCGCCACCGGCGGAGATACTTGAGGCAAGTCCGCTAGCAAACTGCTTTTGATCATCGCTACGACAACGCACTTCTCTCCCTTTCTCCTCTCCCTCTGTGTCACTCGCTTCCCTCGGTTCGCCTTTCTTTGTAGCCCCGACTCCCCTAACTCTTTACCTCGTCGTCTCCCGGCTGCTTTGACACAGAGAAGAGCGACGAACGCGGGACAAAGCCGCCGAGGTCCGCGTGGCGTGGCTGCGAGAAGAAACGGAGGCCTACGCGTCGCGGAGACGATCGAACGAGCCCAAACAGTCTTAAGACCGTGGCAAACTTAACCAAACCAGAGATAAACACCATCGATCCGACGCAAAAACCATATTATCGTGCAACGAACGAGGTTTTACTTAAGGGTTGTCAAACTGCGTCGACCAACGTCTAATCACAACCCTGAGACGTTTGCAGAAGTTTGACGAAGTTTGATAGTTCGAAACAGTTCCAGCATAGTTCGTGGTTGTTTTGCTTATCGAATCATCGCTGTTTTTCCGCACGATTTAGTCGCGGCGCGAGTCCGTCGACCCTCGCGAGTCGAAAGGCGGGAAGAAACGTCGACGGGAGGTTGACGGAGGCGTCTTCCAAGGATCGACGGTCGACGCGAGAAAGAAAAGAACGGGAGAAACGTCGCGGCGCTCTTTGACGACGACGGGATTTGTCGTACGGAAAGATATAACAGGCCACGGGAAGAGAAAGAGAGAGAGGAAGGAAGCGCTCTCTGCACGCCAGCCAGACAATGCGACCTTTTGTACTTTGTAACGCGGGTGCTAATTACTCTGCATCAGCCGCGGCCCTTAAGGTGCGCGCTGTCGAACCCTTTCAACGCGAGAAACCACTGAGAAAGCAGATTAACCAACAAAACGAGAAGAGAACCCGCGTACCTTTGACACGCAAATATTCGTGATAATTACAACCGACGACGATGATTCGCGTTACTTTTTTCCCCCGCGTGGGCCGCTTGATCCCAAACAAGGACTCGGCGGTGGGGAATTTCTTTCTGGCGACGTTTCGCCCGCGAACCTTTGAAGTGTAAATCTCTGTCGCGAAACGCGATGCGGTTCAGTCGGCCAATAGTAGCTCGCCTTTTCAATCGCTCGCTCTTAATTGTTTTAACATGGTAGCAACGATCGATTTCATATTTCGTTCAACGAATGGCGAAGAGAAATTGTTTATCTCGCCTGTATTGTTCAAAGCGTTTATTTAGATAAGAATTTTGTTCATCTGTGGTTTCAGCGTCCATTTGAGCGTTCTTCTCCGGCTGCTCGATCGCGCGGAATCGACGAGATGTAAACGACCGGCGGAAACACTTACGGACTTCGATTCGCGTTGCGTTCGCGCGATCGACGAGGCACGATTCTCCGCCCCCGCGGAAAGGGTGAACTCGAGGAGAATTCCAATCGGCGGATGCATCGGCTTTAAAGCACTCCTGCGCGAGTTTTCAGCGACGCGGTACCCTGAGAACGTTTCTCGCCTCCTTCCGCCGCCTTCGCTGGAAAAACCCTGAAAAAGTTGCCGCTAAATCTTTCCGCGTTTTCATGCGTAAATCGACGACTCGTTGCCACGACTAAGCGCGATGGTGCGCGTTTACGTACAGGGTGCGAAGGAAATATTTGTCACCGCCTACGAAAATAAATTTGTCTATCGGTGACGGAGACTCGTTAAACCTTTCAATTATTCCTTTAAATTCGAAATCAATTTTTTTATTTCCGTTTTATACAACGTTGATTTTATGTTTCTCGCGAAGGTCTCGGAATCGGTGCAAGTCTCTTGAACAAATCCAGGGAAACGTGACGAAAGCAACCCGGTAATAAGAAAGTTTTTCAATTTAATAAGAAACTGTCGAGATCAGTTCGTTCGTTCAACGTCCCAGAATTCAACCAAGAGGTTAACTTTGACTCGAAGCTGCCGTGATGCCCGGTCTTTTTCCCGGTTTCTAATTAAATAACAACATAATTCACCGTCTTACGTTCAAACAATTAAATAACGTTTAAGATTCAGCGACGGCTGCCGTTGCTTTCCCATTACTACGCCGGTCCACCCTTGGATTCTTACGCCTTTTGCTCACAGTTTTCATCCCTCTAACTTCTCCCGTCACTTTCTCCCTTTCTTCGGAGAACAGTCGCCGCCCAATTGTTTTATGATTTTAATAAAACTCTTCGGTTTCTCTATCAATAATACCACTTTTCCCCGATCGAACACCTAAGTTTCGTGTTGATTCGAAAAAACAAAATTATTACCTATCACAGATCGGACAAAATACACGGAGATAGTTATTTTCGAAACAAACTGGAACCTTTTATGTTGTTTACCTCTGGAAATAAATTTCATCGAAATGTGCGGTTGGATACGTTCCCTTGTTAGCAACTTTTACATACTTCGATGTTCCGAATTACCAACGCTATTCGAAATATTCCGCGCCTCCTCTATCGGTTCGATCACATAAACCACAAACTCACGCGTACGAATGGAGGTTCGCTAAAAGTGAACGGTCCCCGCCGAATACCATAAATGGCCTTTTCAGGATGTCGTGTCCTTTCTTTCGTACAAACAACGACGGCTGTTAACGCGTGAACGTCAACCACTCGTCGATCCCGATTACATTCGTTTCACCCGTCATTGGTCACACCCGTGAACTTGTAATGTAACCGAATTAATCAGTTTCAATCTAGCCATGGCTATAAATTAGATCCCCGGTGACGGGGCTTCGTTACGCGTTGTAACCATCGGCGGGGGAGGATGGAACGTTTATCGCGGGTCGGGGGCGTCGAGCGCGCGCGCGAATCTCGTTCTCCCGTGGTCCCCGCTAAACAGTAAACAAATTAATTGTCGTGCCTGGCCGCAAATCGGGCATCGCGATTGTTGCGTTCGACGGCGATCTGCAGATTTACCGTGCACACTGGACAACGGAGCGGCGGCGGGGCAGGGGGTCGCAGGATTTTCAAAGGCAGCCGTGCGAATCGATTCGCCGCGACACGTGGCCGGGAAAAGCGAGGGAAATCAATCGTAAACCCGACTGTTTGTTCCGACGTGACGATGTAATCGGGGCAAACGGTTTCAACCGTCCCCCCGCTTGGTCCGCGCGTGTGTGTATCAACGTTCCAGCGAAAGAATGCAATTAATCGACAGGAACGACCGACGTTCGTTCCGACCGCTTGGTAAACAATACGCGATTCCGTTGTAACGGAGATTTCCCGTTTACGCGTAAGGGCTCACTCAGACTATCGACTTTCCCACGAGTATCGAGGACCGCCCTCTGTTAACCCTTTGCTGGCACGGTCGAGTCTTTCGACAACTACATTTATTAACCCTTCAATGGACACATTTTTTAGGGTGAACTCTCCAATGACGATCAGTTTGCTTATCTCTGCTTTTTATTCCAGGCAAATCGCACACGATGCTGGGCACGCCGGAAGCAGGGCACACGTTGGGGGCGATTCCGTGCGCGATTGCTTGGCTCTTCCGCGGAATCTCGGAGCAACGACAGAGGACAGGCGCCAGATTTAGCGTCAGGGTCAGTTGCGTGGAATTAACCGCCGGTCAACAGCAACTCAGGGATCTGCTCGCGGCTCACGCCAACGGTGAGTAAATATGTCCAGGCATAATTACTACGTCCGCGAAATTGGGAACAAAATTTCTCTTTAAAATTACAAAGAATTCTTCGTCCACGGAACTCGGAATAAAGAATGTAATTTTAACTCGAAGGATAATTGGAAAGGTTGAATGAAAAAAGTCTCGCGTCTCGGTGGTCCTGGTACAACGAGGAGTGATGCTGGACGCCACCGGGGTTCCAGTTACAAATTGCACGTAATATTTGTACCGTAATCTCAGCGGCGCCCAAGTTTTCTCGTCTGAGCGCCCGATCGCGATAGCATTGTGTTCCCGCGCGTCGAAGAAACTTGAGTCGTAAGAAACACTTGTCTCGAGCATCATCCCCCGGTTTTAAGAGTTCCGACTGTCCCGACGCCCTTCGAGGACGATCTCGAGATCGGCTTTAACCCCGAATAACGGAGCGTCTTAGATATATTTGCGAGGGGGGTCGAAAGTTTTCCGGAGCGTTTCCCCCTTCCCGCGATAGGGTTGAAGGTTTCCCGCAATTAATTCGATGCCTCGAACAATGCGGGCAAGTACAATCGTTCCGGATTAATTGGTGCCGAGTGCAGGAAACAGCGAAGGGAATTTTGTCGTCACGGTCGTCAAGCGTCGATATATCAAGGATGGAAGAAATTCTTGAATGGACAAAGGCCTCGAAATACGAATAAAGAATAAACAATCGATTCGCAGGAGGAAACACGGAAACAGAATTCCATCTGAGAAACTGCGAGGAAATTGCATCGATAAAGAAAGAAAGCATTTCCGGGTTGCACGGTGATACGGTATTAAATGCTGTAGACTGAAATAAAATCAAAAGTTGCGGTCGAATATCGCATGTTCCATTTGCTTTTATCCGCATAACTAGTCGTTCCGAGACTCGGACCTGCTTCAGCGTTTTCGGATCGCTAGGAATGGCTCGTAATAACGCCGGGAGACGCATCCGTCGAAAGCCTGGTAGAATGAAATTGTTCTTCCCGTCTTGTTTTTCTTTTTCATATTTTTTTTTTTGGCCATTGAATCTCCGTTCGTTCGTGGCGACTCGCGTCCACCGAGCATTCCGCGGGTAATATGCAGGAAACGGCCGCCATTCGGGTCGGTCTTCACGGACCACCGAGTGGACGAGGTGGTCCGTAAAATTGAGGGGTAAGATTATTTCTCTTCTTTTTGTTTGTCTACGAAACCGTCTCCCTACTCCTTGATTCGCTTCCGTCTTTCCTCCCGTTGTTTCCTGCTTGTCGAGGAATTGCGAGCAACTCGCCGGACTAATAAGAAACCGAAGGGTGGAACCACCGTCGTGATGCACTTATGGCAACTCTCGATGAGCTGGGGTCACGGACCACGAGGCACGATCTCTGGAAATTAACACTCTCTGGTCGGAGATTGTCTATCATCATCTCTCAGAAACTTTTTTAAATAGGATCAAGTTTACTGTCTTCGAAAATCGTGCACTATAACTCTTCAAAGTGTGTCTTCCAAGGGTCTACGGAGATCGTTGAACTCTCCGATATCGAAGCAGAAAATGTATTTCCATTTCGTCGTCGCAAATGATTATTTTACGAACCGCGTTATTCCGGGAACTTTGCTAACCGAGGCTATCGGTGGAGTGTATCACCCACAGCCGGTGGTTTACGCGCTTTTTAATGCCGATCGAATGTTATTGGGGTGCTTAGGTCGTTGGAATTATCATGGAATAGGTAGAGCGGTCGTTAAGCTCGAACTTTACAATTAAAAAGTTACGGTGCAACGGGCGTGGGTGCATTAGGAAACAATTCACCGTGGTACAATGTAACCGTAGTTATCACGATCGTACCGTGGGAACGATAAATGCGAAAGGGCCATAATCTCAAAGGGTTTAGAATCCGTTGTAAATTTCGTGGCTGACATTAACGCAGAAGTCGCGTGCCGCGTCGGAACGCGGCGTATTAAACTTCCGGCGTCGAACGAGACGGTACTCTTTCCGCGAACGTTGCCAGTACAGACTACCCCCCCTGTAAACCGATGCCAATTTTTTCCGTATTTTACATACTTTTAACGATGCTTTTGATTCATGTCCGCGGCGTTCTCAGAAACTTGAAAGCAAAACGGAACTTTGTCGAATCATGATTCTTGCCTTTTATCGTTACATTTCGTCGCGCTTTTTCGCTAAATTAACGCCCAAATGAGATCGTCGGGGGTGTGGAATACACAGGATAAGTTTCAACTTTATTCTTCCCCCATGGAACAATGAACACATCGCGTCAACTCGGTGCAGCCTTTGAATTACGCCCTAATGAAATATAGGGCCGCCGAGTTCTCGCAAACGGCTCGTAATTTCGCCTAAAAAGCCCCGAATCTATATAAGCTCGGCCCTAAAGTTCAACCCTCTCGGAAAGTAAGACGAAAGACGCGGTGTAAATTTGTTGGCGCGAAGTTTCCCAGTTTCTGGCATTCGATCGAAAACGTACGCTTCTGCCGGGGCCGAAGTTTCGCGGTGATTTCAGTCGCGTCACGAATCCGGGACCGAGTCTTAAACGAGACTCTTTCCGCTCTCCCGCAACGCTAACTAATTTCGAAGCGGTGCAATTAATTTTCCAGCTTATTAAATAATTAACTCGTATCCCGAGGTCTGTTTTGCCAGTGTAAGCCCCTGCCTTCCCCGGTTCTCGTTTCGACTCTCCTTGTTGCCCGCTCCGCCTCGGTTACCAAAAGCTCCGTTGCACGCGCGGCCCACGAATTTCGGCCTTTCTGCCCGGGGAACTCGATAATCCCTTCCACGTAATTATTTAAAGTTTTCGACGGCTCGAGCCCCGGGGACCGGGCGGAAACGAAATACCACCTTTGCGGTAATTCACTTTCCTTTCCTTGCGACAACGGTCTACGGGTTAGGTCTACTTTGTCCGCCATTCGCAACGACGCTTTCTATTTGCCCGAATTTAATTACAATCGCTTCTCCACGGAGGTCGAATCGATTTTGGGACCCGTGTCTGTTAAACAGCGTTGGACTATTAAAATTCAAGTAAGCAGAAGCGACAAAGTGAATTATAGCGTAGGAATACGAGTTTGGATGTTTCAAGGTGTAACGAAGAAACGTTCGCCAGGAGGTTCAAAGAGGATCGCACGTCGCGTGCACCTGAATGGTCCCGGCGAAGAAAAATGTTTCGCCGGAATATTTTCCGGTGCGAGTTTTTTCTTCCGCGACGACTACGAGTTGCCTCGGAATAATTCTCATCGCGGCTCGCGCCACGGTTATTGTTTTATACTTGTACGCCGCTCGGCGCATAAAGCGGATAAGAAGGAAGATATAAGGACGAGAACGGGGGAATAATGGAGGAACGCACAAAACGTCGTAGCTGCATCGTCACTGGAGCATACGAGCTTTTAACGTGCGCATAAAACGCGGTCGGGAATGTTTTTTTCGTTTTGTTTCGCGGAATGGCTAAAAGGGTTCGAGTCGATGGGAAATCGAAGAGAGGTATTCCGCGGCAGCGCAGGAATTTTTATTCCGCCTCATTTCGCCGCGCGTCTGCAAGAAAATTTCCCTTTTCCTGTCGACGATCATTGAAACGATTATTGCCAATGATATATCCAGTCTTTCGCGAACGATAGGAGGACGAGAGAGAGAGAGTTCCCGAGCACCGAGCAACTTTCATTTGCAAATGCACGAGACACTTCGGGCAAGTTTACGGTCGACGGGAGGCGGGGAACGTGCCTTCGATCGCACGAATTATTTGTTAATATCCATTTGTATGCCGACCGACCGAAACACTCGATTAAATAACCTCAAAGCCGCATGTTTGCGTTTCGATGCACGGGCAGAAAGTATATAGGATCGATAGAGGGTTGGGGTTGCAGCCGATGGTGCATCTGTGGCCAAAAACATCTCCGCTTCTACTGGCCCGCGAATACCGTACTTTATTCCATTACCGGATGCATTATTTATTCGACTTCACGCAACAGTTGCGTTTCATTTCATTCTACATTTTTTTTTACCCCGACGGAAAATCCTCTGTCAATAGTGGTATTTTCCCTTCCCCCGGATTCTAACCACTTTCCGCTTCGAGCCCGTTCGCGTGCGTTTAAATTTATTTCCCTGTTAATTTGTTCATCGCGCGTATTATCCATCGAGCGTCTCCGTTAGAAGATAAGTAGAAGGATATTCGATGCTAAATGAAGTACTCCGGTCGCTTCCACTTATAATAACGAAGTTATTCGAGCGAAGACTTAAGTGCGCCGTTTTATGAAATTTTTATACCGTACATTTCCCTCGTTGGTCGCATCCAACTGCATTCTCGAAACAGATTCGTCGGTCCATCGACCCCGTTAATATGCCTGTTCGTTTCCTCCGAGTTCCTTTCTTTTCCACCCGCTTTTCCCATTCCCTCTTGGCGACCGGATCGTTTACCGGAGACGGTAACTTTTACGAGGGGATACGCTCCAGGATCTACCGTGCGGTAGGCAATTAAAGAAAATCGTCGTCTTACGTACCGACTGGCTTCCGAAGCAAATGGTAGCGCGAGCAATGGTCCATGCTTTGGTCTCGGAGAGAAATCGGAGGTCATTTTGTTAACGACAGCTTTCCTCGCTTCGTCACTTGGAAGTTTAATGACGCGACGTCTTCGTGCCATTCGGCTGGAAAGTGGATTGTTGGTTTACGTTGGCAATAATTTTAAACGCGTAACCGCGCCTTTTATTCCTAGACCGTATCGCTGCCCGTCGATTTCTCCTAATAATAATATTTAGCAAATTAAATTTACGAGTGCTCTGTAGAATAACGAATAATTACTTTTTTAAATTAACCTCAATTTGTGGTCAGATTTCATAACAGAATTTTATATTCATAACTCCGTTTCGTGGGTTTTAAATTACTAAGTTAATCTCGGTTCGCAATTGCTGAAGCTATTCAACCGCCAAAGTTTATTTTTTATCCTACGTATTCGTAGCGCAAGTTGTGTATAAAACCGGTAGAAGGAAAAGTACATATACAACGAGAGGAGGTTTCACTACACCA